TTATTGTGGTACTGGGGATTGAACTGAGGATCATTCAACCACCAAGGCATATCCCCAGCCCTATTTTGTATTTTAGTTAGAGACAGGGTCTCACTGAGTTTCTTAGTACTTTGCTGTTGCTGAGACTGGCTTTGAACTCGCAAATCACTTGCCTCAGCCTCAGGAGCTGTTGGGATGATATGCATGTGCCACAGTGCCTGGCTGTTTTTTGTATTTGTTCAGGTATTTTTGTCACAGCAATGCAAAGCTCACCGAAAGGTTCTAAATATAATCATAGAGAGTGTAGAGTGTTTACCAGAGAAGTCAAATACAGCAAAATATTAGATAATCAAAAATTCAGTCAAATTATACTAGAGAATGAAAAATATGTCCACAAATAGATATGTTGATTAAAATATTTCTGGCATATGCAAATAATGGTTTATCATTCATCTTTCAGAAATGAACAAATGATACATGCTACAAGTGGACTAATTTCAATGATGTTATGCTCACTTCAGCCAGAATACACATTGTATACTGAGTGACTTATTTATATGCAATTTCACAAATATGTAAATTCAAAGATACAGAATACATTTAGTGTTCTCCAGTGACTGAAATCTGGGATAATATGGAAAATGTGTGTAATGGATTAGGTGGCCAATTTGAAGTAAAAAAGTATTTTGGAAAAACATGTAGCTGGAAATTGTACAATTATTCAGTGTGGTAACTCACACTGACTTGAGAACCATAAACTATTACAAAGGTTAATTTTAAATCATGTGGATTTCATCTTAATGATAAGAAACTTTTGCTGCTAAACTGGAGATAGTTTTAGATGTTTCCCTCTTAAAGATTGGTGAATGAGTGAGAGCTGCCCACCACACTTAATGTTAACTAATCCATACAAACACCTACTGCTAACTCACACTGAGGTGAAGGAGGGCAGAGATGAAAACACACACAGTGAGAACCATCAGTCTCTCCTCAGTATCATTAGTTTATCAATAAGGACTAAAGTCAATGCCCAGCAGAGGAGTTCCCATGTGTCATCCACTGTCCATGCTGGCACATGGCCAGGTCCTCTCTCCTGGGCTCTGCAGATTCCACTGCCTGGTGGTGGGCTCAGGCCTCCTGCTGCCTCTGCAGGCTGAGCTCTGGGCTCCCTGGGACCCTACTCCCACTGGCTAGGTACTATGCTCACATAAAACAATGGTGACTGAGCTCCCCACAACCCATATGGCACTGGGTTGACTGGACAGATCCACCCTGGCTGCATACACAGTGGATGGGAGAAGCCAAGGGGAGATGTAGTACTGCACCTATCATGGAGAACAGGTGACACTCAGGAGTGAGTACTTGGCATTTAGAGTCCAAATGCATCTAAGATTCATAATTATTCTGCTCTGCAAATTGCAATTTCATCCAAAGAGTCAGCTATCCCAAGAAGAGTTTGGTGAATTCTGAGAAGAACACAGGCAGCACAGAGAGTCTTTATAACTGCATTATGTTGTTCGCTGTGATTGTGACTGCTGCAATAGGAACACAGGGACCTTGGGGACATCTGCATGGTGTATGGAAGTTAAGTGTGTAATAGTCCTTCATGTTGCTTCTATTGGTTTAAATTTTTTTCTTCAGATTACTTTAACTTTTACTTAGATAACACTCAAAGTAATTTGCACAGAAATTCCATAGAATACTAATAAATACATTCACATTTAGACAACAAGAATAAAATGCAAAACATGGTATAGGATATGTAGGTAGATAGGAATGGTATTGTAATAGCTGATACACATGCACATAAGTCAATTACTGTGGGAAATATATTTAATGAGGTAGGAAAGATTCATTGAAATATTTTGAATATTAATCTCCTTTCTTTGTTTTGTTCAAAAATACATGTTTCAATTATTCCATTGTTTTTTTTTTTTTTTTTTTTTTTTTGGTGTCAGGGATTAAACCCAGGGCTGCTCAATTATTGAGCAACATTCCACCCGTTTTGAATATTTATTCTGAAATAGGGTCTTGACAAGTTTCTGAGGCTAGCTTTGAACTTAAAATCTTTCTGTCTCAGCCTCTTAAGCTGCTGGGATTATAGGCATACACCAGCATGCCCAAGTTTTCAATTATATCCTTAAGTTTTTATGCTAAATACATGTTGTGTATGACTAAGAGGATGCGTGTGTCCAGTGGTGTAAATATAAAAATAAAGTTGTGCAACACTTGGAAGCATATTTTTATTTTCAGAATATATGTGCCTCAGCATTTTAATGGCTTATCAAAGACACTAATCGATAATTCCTAATATGGAAAATATAATTAAAAATACTTTATTTTGTGTCTTCCAAACCAAATAATATTTGCAGTTTTGAAGTGATCTATTTATTATATAAATCATTATTTGAATCACTATCAAGAGAAATTAAAAAGAGAAAAATCTCAGCTTTTACCACTTACAGAGAAAGCACTTGGGTAGTCCCGCTTCATGTTCCTGGAGTTAAAACATGCTAGTTCTCCTCACACACATTGTGCTGACTCTCACTTCTACCAACCCTTTCTGTTATTTATACCTTCATCTTAGTGTCTTTATGAGAGAATTCTGCATAGGCATTTTTGCCCCTTAAATAAGAATGTAGTATTGAATCACACCAAAATATTAAGGTCAATATATGCAACCTAAGCCATACTTTTATTTTTAAAATCCAGGTTTAGAAAGTCATCCTATCTTTAGAATTTACTGAAATTATCTGAGGCCTTCTGTAAAAAATAGGTGGTGATTTGTACATGTATTTTATTGTATTTATACATGACTTTGGATTGGTGCTCCATAAATGGAAGTATTTGAAGACTAATACATGAAAAATGAAAGTCAAATTCAGAAGAATTTATCAAACCATAGCTAAATCACACAAAGGAGGACATCAAGTAAGTTAATGTAACTCATCTGGTTTGTGGAGAATTTGCTACATCCTATTGAAGAAGGAAAGGCAGTATTTGGCTTAGTGTAGAAAATAATAATAAAGAAAGATAATGTCTCTGTAGTACTATGCACCTTCTAGATTTTAACCCATGTTTACATCCCATCTGTATGTGACAGGATGTCCTGGGGTGATCAACAGGAGCTCCTGTAGCTCCTGGAATCCAGGTTAAAGGGTAAAATGTCTGGCAGATTTCCTTATTAGTTAGTATCATCATATATCACATTCAGAATTATTCATATTAATTTGAATTTTTATATATGTAACATTTTTCCCTTCATAGTACTCAAATCATGCTTTTTTTTTAAAAAAAAAAAAAACAATCTTTTACTAAAACTCAGTATCTGTAGCAGATTTTCCCATAATATAAATCATTAGTAAATATTTGTCAAGACCTGATTTGAAACAATCTTTCTTTCAGCACAGAAGTGGGGTATGGTATTTCAAATGAACACACACTGTATTTCTTACAGAAGTGAAAAAAGGACATCACTGATTTAGAAGGTACTCACTTGTAAATTAGTGGAATAAAGAAACTTAGATCATGTTAGCAGTTAGTCAATTGTGTTACATTGCATTTTTTATTAACTACTATGCATGAAGTCACTTACTTGCTACTAAGAGAATAAAAAGATGAATGATACAAGGTCCAAAATCAAAGAATTTCTATACCAGTGATTTGGGGTATTTGTACATATAGATTTCATAAAAGGTAAAATAACATGTTGACTTCTAACATTAACAGAAAAATATAAGAAAAATTAGAGGCTAAGAAAGGGTTTCAGAGAAAAATTGCATTTCAGCTTCTTTAAAGTGCAGTGTATACTAATGGGGAAAATTAAATAAATTATGTCTTTGTAGAAAAGGGGCTCTGTCAACAAGACCCAGGATATAGTGTGAACATGGAGGTCACTGAAATGTGAGTTCAGGTTTGTGTCAGGGAGGAGTGGGGGATGGGGCTAGCAAAAGATTGCAGGTAGATTAAGTATCACCCCTTGAACTTCACCCACACTGTTAAATTAACAGTAATGTCCATGAGTCTGGCGACCCAACAATGTCCTTGGGGAACATTCACATTTTCAGAGGAGCCCAGGCAGGCTCATCAGGTAGATTTCTTTTCTAAGGGTGAATGTGTTTAACTTGGCAAGGTGCTAAGGCGGACCCAGGTTGCAGAGGGCTGAGGAGATAATGATTTTGGTGACAAAGGATTGAACCAGTCTGAGGTGCTGCAGGAGTGCTATAACAATCAGCAAAACATTCCTTTTAGGGTATGCAGTCAGTAACTTTTTGAACACTTATGATAACTTTAAGAAGAATGGTATATAAGGGGAGGTGTCAAAAAGAAAAGGAACAATGATTGTCTAGACAAAGGAATCTTCAACTTCATGGTGCTGAGCACTGAATATAAACATATTAAGGTAAAAAGTAGAAGTTTAGTAGAATGTTATTCTCTAAAGAACTTACACTGATCTGCTGGAGAGAAGAATAGCCCCTGGGGGAGCTGAATAAGGTATGGCTGAGCATGTGTGTGTTTTTCATGTTAATGATGATAATGACTCTGACACCATTCCAAAAAAAAATATTTATAAATTATTATTTGAATTACTTAGTGTTCATAAAAAGGCAAAAAAGTGGTGAAATTGCATTTATGGAAGACAATAAGGTAACTAAATTACAGAGTTAGAGAACACACTGTCACACAGTTGCTCAAAAAAGAGAGAAGATGAACAATGCTTGCTAGTGCTCTGCATGGGAGTCTCAGGAGGTCAGAGGAGGCCTAATGGGAAACTGAGGACAAGCTCTGAAGGCCACATGCAGACCATGGGCTGTAGACTCCACACTTGCACTGGGAGGTGCACAATGCTTAAAAATGATTAAAAATATCAGAAAAACAAGAGTGACATTTCCTCTACAGGGAAAGCTAATGCAAACTACAAGAAAACACTCTGGACATAAATATGTCAAATAATTGTATTAATTATTTTTTGCTTCCTCTCTCACCTATTTATCTTATGAGGCAACCAGAATTTCCAGCAAATGACCAATGCCACCATGGTAACTGAATTTCTCCTCCTGAGCTCTCCTGATGGCTGGGATCTGAGTTTCCTCTATTTCACAGTATTCCCAATGACCTACCTGGGTACCTTGTTAGGCAACCTTCTCATCATCATTGTCACCACTGCTGACCAAAATCTGCATACGCCCATGTACTTCTTCCTCAGGAACCTGTTCATCTTGGACATATGCTTCATTTTCATCTCTGTCCCCAATGCCTGTGTCAACGCTTTCACTCTCAACTGGGTCATTTCAGTGACTGGTTGTGAAACACAAATCTTCTTGGTATCTTTGTGCATACTTAGATATTTGATTCTCTCCATCATGGCCTGGGACCGCTATGTGGCCATCTGCCAGCCCCTCCAATACCCCCTCATCGTGAACCCTCAGATTTGTGTCCGCATGACCCTGGCCACCCTGGTCAGTGGTCTGCTGTATGCAGGTGTGCACAAGGGAACACATTCTGGCTCTCTATCTCCCAGTCAAACGTGGTCCCTCAGTTCTTCTGTGATGTCCCCTCTCTGCTGAGGCTCTCCTGCTCTGACACCACCAGCAACAAAGTCCTTATTCTTGTCCCTGCTGTGGTCATTTGTGGTGGTTGCTTCCTTTTTATTGCCATGTCATATATTTGCATATTTTCTGATGTGCTGAAATTTCCCGCCAGAGCCCCAGGGAAGGCCTTCTCCACCTGCACCCCTCACATCTTCATGGTGTCCCTCTTCCTCAGTTCTGGCTCAGGTGTGTACCTGAGGTCCTCAGCAACCTCTGACACACTCGAGATCCTGGATCTCTCTGCCTTTTACACCATGGTTCCTCCCTTCCTGAATCCTCTCATCTACAGTCTCAGGAACAAACAGGTAAAGGAAGCTGTGACAAGAGTAACGGGAAAAGAGTTGTTCTCAGGGAAATTATGAAGATGCCTTTCAGCTTCATCCTAATTTCATGGATCATGGATCATGGTTCTTAATAAGATACAATTCTCTTCATATTTGAACTTTACAAGTTACACTGTCTACCTTTGCATTACATCATTAGAAGCTGAGTTATTTCATAAGATATATTTCTGTGACTTACCATATTGTTTCCATGGACCCATAATAGAATGTGTAATTTCATCAATGCATCTTTTAATGATTAAATATAATTTAATATATTTGCTGGAATCAGTCGTGGTTATATATTTTAAAGAAACATCCCATATGTCAATTACCTATATGAAATACTGACACCAAAGAAAACTCTACCTATCAAATCTGGAGATAGCTTATTCTTATATAATTTGCTCTTATTCAGAACAGTGTAGAACCTACTTGTAAACACTGTGATCCATAATTGTGCCAATTTATTTACTTTTAAAATATATATAAAAATCAAATCCTAAAGAAGTTATAGCCAAAATGTAGAGAATTTAACAGTAATATTTTTCTCCATCTGGACCAGGCAAGAAGAGACTCCTTTCTGTGAAGTAAAGAGAGGGCAATGGTTAATGCACCCTGTATCCCAACATTCACAACTTTCCACAGGGAACAGCAGCCTGTGCTTCTTTGGCCATGACAGGGGCCAGTCTTTGATTATGTTCATGAATTGATGTCAGCTTTCTGATGGTTTCTCTTCCACACATCTTCCTCCTGTAGTGTTTGTGATAATGATTTAGTCCTAATAATCATGGAGAAATGGACCATAGTTGTCTGGCACAGGTGTCTGGGCCATGCCAACAATTACATTTCTCTCACTTTTCTTAAATTTGTAATGTAAACCTCTATCTTTATTTGTGATAGTAATTTTGCTGTTTTTGTTGTTGGTAGAGTTTTATTTATATATATATTTTTAAATTTTTGTTTGTTATATATGACAGCAGAATGCACTACAATCTATACTACACATATAGAGCACATTTTTTCATATATCTGGTTGTATATAAAGTATATTCACACCAATTCATGTCTTCATACATGTACTTTGGATAATGATGTCCATCACATTCCACCATCCTTGCTAACACTCTGCTCCCTCCCTTACCCTCCCATCCATCTGTCCTATCTTTGCTAGTCCCCTGCCCCCTCCCTTTTCCTCCCCCCCCTCTTCCCTATCTAGAGTTCATCTATTCCTCCCATACTCCCCCTCCCTACCCACTATGAGTCAGTCTCCTTATGTCAGAGAAAACATTCGGCATTTTTTGGGGGGGATTGGCTAACTTCACTGAGCATTATCTTCTCCAATGCCAACCATTTACATGCAAATGCCATGAGTTTATTCTTGTTTACTACTGAGTTATATTCCATTGTGTATATATGCCACATTTTTTTATACATTCATCTACTGAAGGGCATCTAGGCTGGTTCCACAGTTTAGCTATGTGAATTGTGGTGCTATAAACATTGATGTGGCTGTGTCACTAAAGTATACTATTTTAATGTCCTTTGGGTATAGACTGAAAAGAGGGATAGCTGGGTCAAATGGTGTTCCATTCACAGTGTTCCAAGGAATCTCCATTCTGCTTTCCATATTGGCTGCACCAATTTGCAGTCCCACCATCAATGTAGGAGTGTGCCTTTTTCCCCACATCCTCACCAATTCTTACTGTGGTTTGTCTTCATAATAGATAGAGAGATGAAATCTTAGAGTAGTTTTGATTTGTATTTTTCTAATTGCTAGCAATGATGTACATTTTTTTCATAAATGTGTTCATTGATTGTATGTCCTCTTCTGAGAAGTCTCTGTTCAGGTCCTTGGACTAATTATTGATTGGATTATTTGCTTTTTGGTGTTTAGCTTTTTGAGTTCTTTATGTACCCTAGAGATTAATGCTCTATCTGATGTATGAGGGATAAAAATTTGCTCCCAAGATGTAGTCTCTCTATTCACCTCACAGATTGTTTCTTTCGCTGAGAAGAATCTCTTTAGTTTGAATCCATCCAATTTATTGATTCTTAGTTTTAATTCTTGCACTATAGGAGTCTTACTAAGGAAATTGGGGCCTAATCCCACGTGATGAAAATTAGGGACTAATTTTTCTTCTATTAGGCTCAGGGTCTCTGGTTTATTTCCTATTTATTTTTATCATTAGATGCTGAGTTCTTGATCCACTTTGAGTTGAAGTTTTAAACATGGTGAGAGATACGGGTTTAATTTCATTTTGTTGTGTATGAATTTCCAGTTTTCCCAGCACCATTTTTTGAATAGGCTATCTTTTCTGCAATGCATGTTTTTGGCACCTTCGTCTAATAGAATTGTAATTTTTTGGGTTTGTCTTTGTGTCCTCTATTCTGTACCATTGGTCTTCCAGTCTGTTTTGGTGCCAATAACATTTTTTTTATTACTATTGCTCTGTAGTATAGTTCAAGTTCTGCTAGAGTGATGCCACCTACTTCACTCTTCCTGCTAAGGATTTCTCTAGCTATTCTGAGTCTCTTATTTTTCCAGATGAATTTCATGATTGCTTTTTCTATTTTTATGAGGAATACCATTGGGATTTTGATTGTAATTGCATTAAATATGTATAGTGTTTTTGGTAGTATGGTTATTTTGATATTAATTCTGCCTATCCTAGAGCAAGGTAGATATTTCCATATTCTAAGGACTTCTTTGATTTCTCTATTTAGGGTTCTGTAGTTTTCATTGTATAGATCTTTCACCTCTTTTGTTAAGTTGATTCCCAAGTATCTTTTTTCTTTTTCTTTTTCTTTTTTTTTTTTTTTTTTGAGGTTATTGTGAATAGGGTAGTTTTCCTCATTTTCTTCTCAGAGGATTTGTCACTGATATACAGAAATGCCTTTGATATATGGGTGTTGATTTTATATCCTACTACTTTTGTGAATTCATTTACTATTTCTAGAAATTTTCTGGTGGAACTTTTTGCATCTTCTAGGTATAGAATCATATTATCAGAAAATAGTGCCAATTTGAGTTTTTAATTTCCTATGTGTATCCCTTTAATTTCTTTCATCTGTCTAATTGCTCTGACCAGTATTTCAAGAACTATGTTAAATAGAAGTGGTGAAAGAGAGCATTTCTGTCTTGTTCCAGTTTTTAGAGGGAATGCCTTAAATTTTCTCCATTTAGAATGATGTTGGCCTGGGGCTTAGCGTAGATAGCCTTTATGATGTCGAGATATGCTCCTGTTATCTGTAGTTTTCCTGTTGTTTTGAACATGAAGGAGGTATATTTTTTCAAATTCTTTTCTGCATCTATTGAGATAATCCTATGATTTTTATTTTTAAGTCTATTGATGTGATGAATTACAATTATTGATTTTCGTATGTTGAACCAACCTTACATCCCTGGGATGAATCCCACTTGATCTTGGTGTATGATCTTTTTGATATGATTTTGTATTTGATTTGCCAGAATTTTACTGAGAATTTTTTCATCTATGTTCATTAGAGATATTGGTCTGAAGTTTTCTTTCTTTGATGTGTCTTTGCCTTGTTTTTGAATCAGGATGATATTGGCTTCATAGAATGAGTTTGGGAATGCTATCTCTTTTTCTATTTACTGAAATAAATTGAAGACTATTGGTGTTACTTCTTCTTTAAAAGTCTTGTAGAATTTGGCTGTGTATCCATCCAGTCCTGGGCTTTTCTTGGTTGGTAATAGAATTCTGATGGTGTCTTCCATTCATCACTTGATATTTGTCTGTTCAAATTTTGTATACCATCCTAGTTTATTCTGGGAAAATTGTATGACTTAAGAATTTGTCAATGACTTCAAATCCTCTACTTTTTGGAGTGTATGTTTTCAAACTTATTTCTAATTATCCTCTGTATTTCTGTAGTATCTGTTGTGATATTACCTTTTTCATCACATATGCTGATAATTTGAGTTTTCTCTCTCCTTCTCTTCGTTAGCATGGCTAAAGGTTTGTCAATTTTATTTATTTTTTCAAAGAACCAACTTTTTGTTTTGTCAGTTTTTTTTTCAGTTGTTTCTTTTGCTTTGATTTCATTGATTTCAGCTCAAATTTTGGTTATTTCTTGTCTTCTCCTGCTTTGGGTGTTGATTTGTTCTTCTTTTTCTATGGCTTTGAGATGTAGTCTGAGTTCATTCATTTGTTGACTTTTTCTTCTTTTAAGGAATGAACTCCATGCAATGAACTTTCCTCTTAGTACCGCTTTCAAAGTTTCCCAGAGATTTCAATATGTTGTGCCTATGTTCTCATTTACCACTAGGAATTTTTCCATTTCCTCCTTGATATCTTCTGTAACCCATTGTTCATTCAGTAGCATATTGTTTAATCTTCAGGTGTTGGAGTAATTTTTATTTTTTTATTTTGAAATGGATTTCCAATTTCATTCCATTATCATCTGATAAAATGTAGGGTATTATCTCTACTCTTTTGTATTTGCTAAGAGTTGCTTTGTGGCTTATTTTATGGTCTATTTTAGAGAAGGATGCATGTGCTGCTGAGAAGAAGGTGTATCCACTTGATGCTAGTTTAAGTATTCTCTATATGTCAGTTAACTCAAAGTTATTAATTGTATTATTGAGATCTCTAGTTTTTTTTAAATTCAATTTTTGTTTGGAAGATCTATCCAGGTATGAGAGTAGTGTGCTAAGTCATCCAAGATTTTTGTGTTTTGGTCAATTTGACTCTTGAACTAGAGAAAAATTTGATGAACATAGCTGCTCCATTGTTTGTGGAATATATATTTATGATTGTGGGGAATATATATTTATGATTTTTATGGCTTGTTGGTATGGTTTCCTTGAGCAGTATGTCATTTTCATCTTTTTCTTTTTTGATTAATTTTGGCTTTAAGTCTACTTTATTTGATATGAGAATGGAAACCCATGCTTACTTCCACAGTCCATGAGAGTGGTAGTATTTTTCCCAACCTTTCATCTTTAGTCTGTGTATATCTTTTTCTATCAGATGAGTCTCCTGGAGGCAGCATATTGTTGGTTTTTTTAATCC